GCTCTTGGGCTGAGTATCTGTGTGCATGCGTGGCAGAAGAACCCACTGGTGATGAGGGTGGGGGGTGTCCACTCGCTCAGGCTTCCCCTCTAGTCACCAGAATGGAGGTGGGCAAACAGTGGGCACGCCAATGACCAGATACCAAAAAGAAAGAAAATCAGAACAAAACAAAACTGATAAAAAAGTGTGTTGCCCACCATTGCTCCACGTTTCCTGCTGAGTTTTTCCATGGTGTTTCTGCTCCCTCCTCTTGGTCTTGCCCAAGATGTTGGTTCCAGGCCTTCAAGCCCAGCCCAGCAGATTCAAAACTACATGATTTTTTTTACTTCAGCTCCAATTTCCACAAGTTATAAGCCTTCAACCTTTAAAAATATTTCTATCTCTGTGGTTCCGAATTTTGAAGCTTTGCCCTCAATCTGCTTTGCCTGGTATTCTGTGGTATTTGCTGACAGTGAACTCACTGCACCTCCGCCCTAGCCGCCATCAAGCCCCACCTCCATACTGCCGTTTTTTGTTTTGGGTTTTCCCTGATGATCTTTCTTTGAAGATGGATCTTCTATCACTCTAGCTGTTCCAGACTGGTCTGCTTGTCCTGTCTAGTCGGAATGCCCCACCTCAGAAGGTTCTGGATGGGACTCCAGATTCCACCTAAGGTCCTATATACTGCAAAGGTTCCACAAGAGGCCTATTTCAAAGCATTTGGTGAAATGCTTTTTAGGAGGCCCTCTTTTCCTGATAGGACCCAGCTGTGCTTCAGCCACCCTGGAAGTCTGGCTCCACCTCCAAGGCTTCACCAAAGTTCCCCTTGCTTAGAGTCCTTCCCTGTGGTCCCCCTTCTCCTGACTGCTTCTGATCAGCTCTCAGCTGTTCCCAGAAGTTTCCCCACAAAGCTGTGTGGACTTCTCAGAGCCACTGCTCCTATGTGCTCTCGTCCCTGTTCCTGTCCTTCCAGCCTGAGACCTCTGCTGGGTAGGATCCACATCACTGTGTTAACCTGCTCGCCACAGAATGCCCAGGGCAGGGCACTGAGAAAGCCAGGGATATTCAATGGGGAGGAAGTGACAGGCAATACAACTCAGATGTTGTTGTAGGGTTAATAGGTTAGGGGAGGGGTTGGATGCAGTGCAGCTGCTATGCCTCAAGCGAATGAACAATGTTTTGTTCTATCCACCCATCAGAGGGGGATTCACTCAGGGCTGGACCTGAGGGCAGGAGCAGACAGACTCTGGTTACCCACACTGAGCCCAGAGCAAGATGATGATGTGGGGCCCCTCATTCAAATGTATTTCCAAGACAACAACAGCATCGTATTAAGCCGGTGTGGGCCCTTTGACACATACGCTCAGGGCCCTGAGACATGGGCTATGCACCTTCCAGCCCAGGAAGCATTCCCTTGCTCATTCTCTCACTCTTTAAGTACATGTCTGCTGGACCCCTACTGGGAACTGGAAGGGCTCCAGACACTCGTGGGCTGAGACAGTACCTAAATGAGTACACAAAACGTTCAGCATTTCCCAAGGCAGTCAAAGTGCAGGAGAAAAACAGGCAGTAACAGGGCTGGCTGGGCATGGAGAGGTGTGGGAGCTCCTGGCAGAGGTGGGGCCGAGTGAGCAGGAGCTGTCCACAGGCTGGACAGGGAGGTGCTTTGTGGATAACTTGGGGCCTCCAGGGCATTATGAGTAGACATGCCTTGACTCTTATCTAACATCGCCCCCTGGTGGCTGTGAGTAAATTGACTGAAGGAAAAGGGCCTGAACATCATTCAGACAAAGGTGATGTGGGGATATACATGAGGGCCAGAGAAGAATGATTGGCTTTTGGATGTATGTGGGGATATACATGAGGGCCACAGAAGAATAATTGGCTTTTGGATGTATTTTGAAGATGCACTGACAGAATTTGGGGATAGGTCCGATATGGGGACAGGGTTGGTGTTGGGGCCCCACAGCCTGCGATGGAGAGTATATGGGTGTAAGTCAGAAGTTTGTTTCTGAGTACCCACATGGGCTATCAAGGGAGTCTAACACTCAGGAGGCCTTGGCATAGGTGTGACCCCTGCACCCATCCCCAAAGCTGCAGCAGCCAGGAAGGGAGGCTGAGGGAGAGTCTGACTCAGGGGCAGGCGTCCCCAAGTGAGAATGAAAGAGGTGGGAATTGCCCAAGTGGACCAGCTGGAGGACTGCGGGTGTCTGCTCTGGGTAACCAGTGTGGTGGAGGCAGCCTGCGGAGACTCTCCATGCTGCCCAGCAGAGGGCCTCTTGTTCTCTCTGCAGGGCACGGTGGAGAAAGACAGACAGACAGAACTCAGAAAACATCTGGTTTATTGGATTAACTGTAGCATACATTGGTTCCTTTAATAGTTGTACAGTGATACATATGGCCCCCATGCATAGCATATATGTAGGGGTGTGGTAGAGCTGTAGTGACAATTACAAACTGGTAAATTGCTTGGGCAATCATAGTGATTCTTCATAGGACTATGTTAGCAATCAGCAAGAGAGAAAGAAAAGAGTGAGACAGCCAACGGGTTCTGGATGGGATGCTGAGTGGACTAGGTGGCCCACCCTTTCTGTAGTACTTTCAGGTGGCCTTCCTGAAGTGGAGGACCACTGCATGGGAGGGATGCTGCCCCCCACTCTGCAAAGAGGCATAGGATCCCCATGAAGTGCAGGCTGGGACCCTCACTGGCTGTAGGCAGCATCATTCCTATATGGGTTTTTAGGCATGTGTCCACTCCTGCATGAACAAGCATGGCCTTGAAGAGATGCTGCATCCATATCAGGGCTTACGGGGGTCCTGCGCCAAGGCGGGGCTGGGATCAACTGCCTCTCCCACCAAGGTCCCCTGGCTTTGCTTTCTTATCAATGGTGGCAGGGTGTGACCTATCGCCTCTTCCAAACCCAGGTTCCTCTTTGCGGCTGCACTGGCCCCCTGAGAATGCTGATGTGGCCGCAGGCCGGATTTGCACAGTCTGCAAGGATGGCTTCAGACACGTGGCCACCCCACTCAATGAGGTGTGATGTGCCAAGCCCTGCCCCTTTCCAGCTTATATGAGACAGTCCTGATTCCACATGATTTCCTCCCTTTTAATGCAGGTGATTCTTTACCTAGACAAGTTAGTTCAAAAGACTGTATATCTCCTCAAAAGCTCTTGTGTAATAACTTCACGCAGCTGACCCTGTGCGGGTACTTATGGGAGATGGCACTGGTAGCTTCAGAGGCGGTGGGTGGCTGAGGAGACTGGGTCAGCTCAGGGGAGGGGGGCCTGGGGGATGAGGCGGAATTTGTTGCTGGGTGGACTGTAGATGGCGCTCTTCCTCTCCTGAGCCTAAAAGCAGAAGCATTCAGCAGCTGCCCAGCTGTCCAGCTGCCCAGGGGACTCATTATCTCAGTGCATTTTTTATATTTTCTTCTCCAAGAGGAGTCAGGGAAATCAGGCGAGGCCATGGTAACTGCTCTGTGGGATCCACAGCCCACCCTACCAGCCCTTGGCATCTGGGGACTTGGCCTGGGGGTTGGGGTCAGGGTCAGGGGAGCACAGGCCCCCAGGGTGTAGGCGTGGAGGAATCCTCACCTAGCTACCCCGGTAAGCCCTGAGAAGAGCAAGAGGAAGGAGGGGGTTTCCGGCCCAAGCCCACAGTCCCTAGCCTTGATGTTCTGAGGGGCACTGGCTAGGGAAGTGGTTTCTGCTTTCTGTGGCTGGGCAGGAACAAAAACCTATGGGTAGGAGCTGGCAGCCCTATTTGCCACTTGATGCCACTTGAGGTAAAGAAAATCCCATTTGAAAGTGGAATAGTTCAGTGGGCCAGTAACCCCATTTATTGCTGTTGCCTATAAGGACACAGGGCCAGGTGCAGGGCAGGGTGGACACCTGAGAAAAGCCGGGCAGGGCCTGTGCTCAGGCATGGGGATCGCCTGCCCCTGGGGAGGGTGGGGGGTTGGGAGGGTACATGGCCAGCTCCAGCCAGCGGGAGGTCTGCAGGTGGTGCAGTGGACGCCCACCGCATTGGGACTCTCTTCTCCCGCCACCAGAGGTAGCTGTGCACCTGGTTCTGCAGGCTCCTGCTGCAGCTGTGGGCAGCAGACTCCAAGTCAGGGTCTGGGGACACTCCAGCTGGAACTCCCTGCTGGCTGCACTGCTTCCCCATCACGAGGGGCAGGAAGGCCACACTAGGTGCCCACCTGGCCTTTCTCCCAGGCATAGGGTGTCTGCCTTCTGCCTGCCCTCAGTCCTACCTCCCCCTCCATGCAGCAGCACCAGCTCCAAGGGCTTGGAGCACAGCTAGCTGCAAAGGAGCAATGATACCCAATCTGTCAGCCCAAGGCAGTACTGAGGGGCTGCAGAGAGTGCCCACCCAGGTAAAGACCCTTCAGCTAGGCTGGAAGCCCTGGCCTCAAGTTCCTTCAAGATCCCCTGGTCCCACTCCACTACCCCCAAATAATCTCTGCTTTAAAATATATATTATATATTAAACATTTCATCGTCAATACAATTTTCCTCTCATAATATCAGGCAAGATGAAATAAGGAAGACAGCCTCTGGGCATATTGCCCATCAGTGGCGTTCCTCTACCAGGAAGGAACGGGGCAGTGGGAGGACAGAAAGATTGATTCCCTGGTTATCCCTCTTTCCGGGCTATGCCTTGCTCCCACCTCTGAGCCCGCTCTGGTCACAGGTGGCACTCATGTGCAGGAGTTGGCCTCTAGGGACAGCAGGTCTCTCTCATAGAGCCAGAGAGGCCACCAAGAGGTGCTGGGGAGAAGGGGCAGGTGGTTGGTGAGCTATCCCTGCCGCCTAGAATCCCAAGGAACATTAGGAAGGCCAGAGCCGCTCAACTGGGGCAGAGGTTGTGCTGAATTTAAAGACATTTCAGTCAATTTTCTTTAGGTGTCTATCTACCCCTTAAGGCAGAGCCAGGCTGTTGGCCTAATATATGACAAGACTGTCTTAATTTTTTTTTCTACTGAAGTATAATAGGGATTCCTCTAATTTGTGATTGTTTTTGCAAGCCACATCTGAGAAGCCAAGTCCTGCCCTTCCTCTGCCCGCTTCCCCCCAGACCATGAGCCAATTGCCAGTCAGTGCGCTCAGGGTGGGGACCCGGCTCCTGCCGCAGCTGTCCTTTGAGATAACCACATGTTTATTTCATGGAAGACGGAGTTGGTTACTTCAGGAAGCTCTCTGTGGAGAACGTGGTAGGCACCTTCATAAATCTGAAATTAGAAGAAACACAGGAGATCAGGGTGTCCACAGGTAGGGTAGGCTCTTCTGTGTCCTTGAGATACAAAGGGTGGTGGGCTTGGGGTAAAAGATGTGAGCTTGAATCCTGATGGGTCTCTTAGAGAGTCAGCTACTCTCTTTACAGCAACCTAGTGAAAAGGAGCCTGGGCTGAGAGGGACCCCAATCTCAAGGGCAGGGCTATCCTTGGGGTTGGCCAGACCAATGGGCCACAAAGGGCTGCTTTAGAGACCAACAACACCTGCTTGAGGACTGAGTTCTCTTTCCCCACTTGCCTTCAGCTGCCTGTCGGGAGCTCTTCCTAGTTCAACCTAGACCAACAAAAGGGTACTTCCCAGCCCCAAGCACCACCGTCCACCTTGGAAGCCACTTGCTAAGCCTCCCAGGTCTCTCACACCTGCTGTGCCTCATGGTTAGGCTACAGGTTGTGACCTGGCCCCTTCCTCTGGCAGCCCTGTTCTGGCACAGATCAGACTCTGCTCTGCTCAGCCAGCTCTCGTAACAGCCACCCAGAGTGCACACCCTTGCGTCATGGGCAGGATGAAACTGAAGCCCTTCTCTTGGCACATTGTTTGCTCAATATCCAGCTGTGGGTTCTGTCCTTCTTCTCTTCAAGCACATCCACATGGAACAATCACAAAGGGCTGTGTGCCCTCAGAGAATTCCCAGAAGCCTTATGCTCTTAGCATCTGCTTCCCAGTGGACCAGGCTGGCCTGGACCCCACTAGAGCCAGGCTGATGCACCTGAAGGGCTGCTATCTTCCTGCTTCCTGGGAGACAAGGCACTGATACACTTACCTTGAGCGTCTTGTCCTGGCTCTTGGCTGCCTCCATGAGCAGGTAGGCCCCCTTGCTGTCACATAGGCGGTCAGCAGAGCCCTGGAGCAGCAGGAAGGGCAGGGTCAGCTTAGGGAGGGCACGCTCCACCCGTGCGACGGCACTGAGCAGCTGGTTGCCAAAGCATACTTTCAGCCCTGCCCGACAGACCAGTGGGTCCGAGTTGTACAGGTCCACCTGGAAAGGAAGGAAAGCGGTGCATGATGGGTATCCTGTGAGCTTTCCCATCTGTCCTGGCCAGTGGCTTGGTTGGGGGTGTAGCGCGGGGCTTTGGCAGGGAGGCAGAGCACACAGGGGTTTAGGGATTGCTGGCTTCCTTTAAAATTGAGTTTGAGTTTACATGGACTGTTGTTAAGTGCCGTGAAGTCGGTTCTGACCCATAGCAACCCTGTATAGGGTTTCCGAGACTGTAAATCTTTACGGGAGCAGACAGCCTCATCTTTCTCCTGCAGAGTGGCTGTAGTTTTGAACTGTTGGCCTTAAGGTTCGCAGCCCAATTCGTAACCACTACGCTACCAGGTTGAGGCTAAAGTCCTGCTGACGGTCCCATCCCACACCTTCCTAAAGGCCACACTCATGACAGATGATAAGAGCTTACCAGCTACCCTCCTGCGAAGTGTCTGCCCACCTTTACCATGCCCTTGTCTCGACAAGAAGTTTGGTAACCGCAGAAAGGGGTGATGGCCTTCCCTCCAAATAGGGTGGTGAAGAGATTCTCTGAGGACAAAATCTGGGGTCCATAGCAGGCCAGATGGTCTCAGGGGTGCTGCTCAGACCCGACATGGTGAAGGTGGTTTGCCTGATGCCCTGAGCAAGGCAGGAAGGGGGGCGAGGCTGGAGGTCATGAGCCCATTGGGACCAAGAGAATCTGTGAAAGGTGGTTGTGGGATGAGGGGATGCTGCCAGCACAGGTATGAGTGCAGTGGGGGGAAGGGAGATTGGAAGTCAATACCCATCTTCTACATGGGGGCCCCTGGCCAGCCAGCACAGGATGCCCCCTAGAGATGCTAGTTGCTGGTCAGTCAGGGCTGGCTGCTACCGAACTGAGGCAAAGCCCCATTCTCACTTCCCCTATACCTTCCCCTCCCTTGGGACACCAGAAAACAAGCGGGGGAGATGAAATCGAAGTTGCCACTAGTCTGGCCAAGGGGAGGCTAAGACGTGGAAGGAGAGATTTGGAGGGTCCACCACTGTAGGATAAGCACTAGACTGCTAACCACAAGACTGTAAGTTCAAACCCACCAGCTGCTCCTCAGCAACCCTGTACAGAGTCTCCCTGTGTTGGAAGCAACTTGATGGCACCTAACAACAAAAACAACAACATCACCTCCCTGGCTTCAGTTTCCTCATCTGTAGAAAGTGGATAACAGTAACTTCCTCCCACGGTCACTGCAAGTGTTAAATAAGTTAATTTTGGAACAGCACCTGGTGGGAGAGCAGAGTTGTTATTATTGCTAGGTGCCTTTGAGAGTTGGTTCTGACTCATAAAGACCCTACGCCCAACAGAACAAAACACTGCCCAGTCCTGAGCCATCCTCACAATTGTTACACTTGAGCCCACTGCTGCTGCCATGGTATCAATCCATCTTGTTGGGGGTGGTGGTCTTCCTCTTTTTCACTAACCCACCATTTTCCCAAGCATGATGCCCTTCTTCAGGGACTGGTCCATCCTGACTTCTAAGGAGCATTCTGGCTGTACTTCTTGTAGCACAGATTTTGTTGTTTTGACAGTACTTTCAATATTCTTCTCCAACACCATAATTTAAGCACATCAATTCTTCTGTGATCTTCCTTATTCACTATCCAACTTTCACATGTATATGAGGTGATTGGATATACCATGGCTTGCGTCAGGCATACCTTAGTCCTCAATGTGCCATCTTGGCTGAGAGCAGATTGGCACTACGTACAACAGGCTGCTCTTCTCACTGTTGTCATCATCTGACAGGCCACAGCTGGAAGCAGTGAGTGAGGCACAGTGAAGCTGGTCCTACCCGCACTATGACAACTCTAATGGCCTGGAACTGCCCTGCTCCACGCACGTACCACACAGGCACCGTCTAAAACCTCAAGGATGAATCTTTTTTTTTTTACATAAACCCATCACATAAATGACTCTAACTACTGCATTCCACCAAAGGTTAAAAGAGGTTCCATGGCATCGTGTAGATTTAGTTTCTCCAAGTCTGTCTCCCTGGTCCCCTTGAGACACTCTCATCCTCTCATCGTTGGAGCTGTGGCAGCATCTCAGGTCTCTGGGTCCGTGGGAGGGCCTGGAAGATCCCTGGGAGAGTACTGACCGGTAGATCCATGCGGTGGACAGTGGAAGCTGGACTTGGCTCCTGTGGCTCTAAGCTTGGTGTTGTACTTGTGAGGTGGAAGGCCTGTCTACCTTCTTCAGCCACTGGCCTTCTCGGCTTCAAAGTGACTGCTCTGAATCTGAGGTTTCCTCAGTAGATCTGAACCCAGCCAGCTTTTTTTGTTGTTTTTTTTTTAAATGTTTTATTGGGAATTATGTGATCGTTTACATGGGAGAACATTAGTTTTACATTCACTCTATCATATATCGTTTCATTGCCATGGTTACAGTCCCTCCATGTATCATCAACCAACCAAAGGGTATACATTACAAGCCTGCACCCCGGTCGTGAGCACACAGCCCCTCTCCCTCTCTGGATCTAAAATCCCCAGCAGCTCCATCTCTCCACTTCATTGTCTCTGCCTCCATCTCTGGCATCACTGCTTCTCTGGGTAGGGTCCTGCTCTCTGCTCTTCACCCTTCATGGTCCCAGGGACTTCCGCTCCTAGACTGAAAAGTTAATCACTCCCCTCCTTGCTATAAAACATCTACCTTTACATTTCCAACCCTCACAATCAGTCCTGATAACAATTATTCACTATTGTATCATAAGAGACCTATCTGCATTTCATTTCATCAGCCCTGCCCAGACAGATTGGATACTACTCAGTGGAGAGTCTACCTTCCTTCAAGCCCTTTGGATCTAGGTTCCCTCTTGAAAGTGTGTAAGCTAGTCACTTCTTGCCTTTGTAGTTCCCCATTTTGGGTAGCCAAAGTCCAAGTTACCCATTCCTGTCTATTCTGTGTACGGAGGGGGTGGGAATGATCCTTGCTGTAAGGATTTATTTCCTCTTTTGAGCTACTGCATCCATAGGTGTAGGTCAAGTTCATCAAATTGTATCAGATTACTCTTTTTTTTTTTTTTCCCTCTTCTATCTTATTCTGGTGGAGCTCTGATCATCCAGTCATTGAAGCCAGGTCAAGTGGGTATTATCTGCACGTATGGGTGTTCTTGTGCATATGCCTTCCCTTCTTATCAGCTGGATGCTTCACTCTTCACTCTAGTCCTCTGTGGCTATGTCACTGACTCTGGGCTGAAGAGTCCCCAGGTCTTGCCACACTGCTGACCGACCAGGTCTCCACCCGGATTCACAGGAGTCTATTGAATGTTGTAGGGCTTAGCTTGCCACTTCATTGCTGTTTTTCCCTCACTTCCCCTTATTGGTGACGAGCGTGGTCACCAATCAGAGTGTGTATTCCTATTGAGTCTTAGTCTTGGAATAGGGTTTGCACTGAGGGGACCTGACCACTTGCCTTGATGTCTCCTGGGCAAGCAACTTGCTTGTTCTTGTAGTAACAGTCAGTCTGCCTCTATTGTTTTGTATTTTTCCTGTAGGTCTTTCTTTCAAGAAGTATCTTCTATTCTTCTAGCTGCTCCAGGCTGGTCTGCTCGTCCTTTCAAGTAGAAATATCCCATCTCTGGAGATCTGGACGTGGTTCAGGCTTCCACCTATAGTCTTATGTAATGCAGAGGCTCCACAGGAAGCCTCCTTCACTGGGCACATTGTAGCCCCCATTTTAGGTATTCCAATCAGTTACAGGCAAAAGACAGACTTACAAGCTCTCTATGGTATTGTTTCTGGCTATTTCTTTCTCTCCCCCTCCAGTGTCTATTTTATAATATAATGCAAGGAAAACCAAGATTCAAAAGACAGCCAAGCATCTTAACATTATTACCCCCTTTACCCCATTCTAACCATGTCTCAATCTCTGTATCCCAGAGCCCTGTTGTTCCAGGGCATACATCATTATTTACCTCTGCCCCACTTAGCCAATTCAAACCTGCCTAATTGTTCTCCCATCTGCTTTGTTCTTCTATTCCCCTCTCCCTTCTTGTATATTGCCCCCCTCCCCAGCCTTGTGTCTATTTCCTGCCCTGTGCTCCACCTTCCCCTCCCTCCCCTCATCCCACCCCCACATCCCAGCAACCAGCAAAGAATCAGCCCCCTTTAGTATGGGTTCTTTTTCTTAGTTTTTTACAGTAGTGGTCCTATGCAGTATTTCTCCTTTTGTGACTGACTAATTTCACTCAACATAATGTTCTCAAGGTTCATCCATGTTAGGTGGTGGCACGCAGCTTTATTGTTATTTTTCAAGGTAGCATAATATTCCATTGTGTGTATGTACCACAGTTTATCTATTCTTCAGTTGATGAGCACTTTGGCTGTCTCCATCTTTTTACTATTGTAAATAGTGCTGCTATGAACATTGGTGTGCATATATCTCCTCAGTTTGTGGCTCATTTTCTTGTGGGTAAATATGAAGTAGAGGAATTGCTGGATGGAAAGGTATTTCTATTTTCAACCTTCTGAGGAAGCGCCATATTGCTTTCCAGAGAGGTTGGACCATTTTGCAGTCCCACCAGCAATGCAGGAGTGTCCCAGACTCGCCACATCCCGCCAGCATTTATTGTCCTCTACATTTTTGATCTTTGCTGTTATTGTTAGTATGAGATGATATCTGTTGTTTTGATTTGCATCTCTCTAATGGCTAGTGATCGAAAACATTTCTTCATTTGTGTTTGTTGGCTGCCCGGATCTCTTCCTTGGTGAAGTTGTCTGTTCATGTCCTGTTCCCACTTTTTCTTGTAGAGATGTTGTTGTTGTTATGTGCTGTGGAGTTGGTTCTGACTCATAGTGACCCTATACAGGGTTTCCAAGGCTATAAATCTTTACGGCAGCAGAAAGCCTCATCTTTCTCCCGTGGAACAGCTGGTAGTTTCAAACTGCTGACCTTGCAGCTCACAGACCGATTCGTAACCACTATGCTACCAGAACTCCTTAGAGATGTTGTAGTTTCCTATATATTTTAGAAATGA